CTGCACGCAGGTCAGCCAGGGGACTGGGCTCTGCTCACCGCCGTCTCCCAAGTGCGCGGGGCTGCACGTCCCCAGCCTCTGTGCTTGGGCGCCATTATTGCGTGATTTTTCACATGCACGGAGTGGCCGGCTCCTTTGGGTGGGCGGGTGAGGAGGCAGAGGGCGGTGGGTCACGGTGGGTCAGAAAGCCGTGACTGGCCGCTGGGGGCCGGCGAGAGGCCGCTGGGTCGGGGGAAGGGACGCTCCCGGGCCCTTGCGGCTGCCCTGGTGGCAGAGACCAGTGAGGCATGTCCCAGTAAGCCACCGCTGTTGTCTTTCAGGTTCTGGATACCTACATGTTTCATTCTTTTCTTAAAGCCCGGCTCAACAGAAGGATGGACGCCTTTGCCCAGGCGGACCTGAGCTCGCAGTCCGAGGAGGACAGGTACGTGTCGCCGCGATCGGGCGCACAGCTCGGGGGTGCAGACGCGCACGCGTTGTAGCTCCGTTTGCACAGTGTGTAGTCCCGTCGGGGAGTCTCACGCCGCAGCTCAGTGTGTCCGGCGGCACAGCCAGGCCGGCTCCGTGCGTTTCTGCGTGTGCCCCTGGTCTGTGCGTGGGCCCCTGGTCCGCGTGGGCCCCTGGTCCGCGTGGCCCCTGGTCTGTGTGTGGGCCCCTGGTCCGCGCATGTCTCTGGTCCGCGGGGCCCCTGGTCTGTCCCCTCCCTGTTGCCTTCTCTCCCCCCGCCCACTGTCCCCAAGCCTGTTCCCACCTCTTGTCCCGACACCCTGGACCGTGCGTCCCCTGTGCCGACGCCCTCGCCTGCTCTGTGCTGCGGTCTCTTCTGGGGGGGCAGACGCACCGTTCTCCCCTTGGGTGCGAGGGCCTCGGACACTGGCCGCCGCCTTGGGGAAGATGCTTTGCTGAGGCTTTTTCTGCGGTCAGCGTCGCGGCCATCGAGTAAAGTGTTGCTGCTCTTCCTGCCCCAGGGTGAACGGGATGCTTCTGAGTCCAAGAAGACTGACCGTCGAGAAGATGGCCTCCCGTAAACCCTCGGCCCAGCACGCGGCGCGCAGGCGCATGGTGGTCAGCATGCCCGACCTGCAGGACGTCGCCAGCCCCGAGCTGCTGCCCCGCAATGCGTCGCTGCGGAAAGCCGGCCCCCTGGACCGCAGGGGCAGCGGCACAGGTGACACCCTCCCTCTGACGTCCACTCCCACCGGACAGGCCGCTGGGAGAAACCAGAGCTCGTTTCGGGAGAAGGGCATGAGGTTTTTTTTTTTTTTTAGCTATTTATTTGAAACATTTTTTGAATATTCATTTCTCAAACTAAGTGCGTTACAGAAAATTAGTTCTTGTTTACATTTTCCATCACTCAGTCTCGCTGCTAAAGGTGAAGGCTATGCACTGGGTTTCTGTCCCGTTTCTGCACACGTCTACGTTTGTGTGTACACGCGACACAAAACACATTTGCACATGTCAGTGTCCAACGGGACACGGTGACTGTGAGCCCCCCGTGAGTGCCAGACCCTTTGTAGATCTGGGGTGCAGAAGAACCCAGTGCCCGGCCCTCAAGGAGCTGACATCCGGGGGGTGAAGGCAGACAGCGGGCAGATAAACACGTCGTGTCGGGGTATTCGGTGTCATGGCCTGAAGGAAGCGGGGTCAGGGTCAGCGATGGTGACGGTGGCTGAGTGTGGACGCGACACGTCAGCAGAGGCAGCCACGCCGGTCACAGGGGGCGGCATGTTCCAGGCACAGAGACAGCAAGAGACTTACTGTCACGCGATGCCACGGCTGCGTCTGTCAGCTCGGCGTGTCCTCGGGGCATAAATCGCTACAGAACACGTTCGGACGCGTGTGAGCTGCAGCCAAGCGTGTGACGTGTGCCGTCGGAGACTCACGCTCGGGAACCCTCTCTGCGCAGCTCCAGGATGGGGTCTCGGGGTCTCGCTCCGTCCCTAGCGGACGGAGACTGTGAGGCCAGGTGCTGTGAGCCGTGTGGGCCCCCTGGTGGCCGCCAGTGTCTCTGGAGACTGAATGAGGGGACCCCCCCCCCGACCAGGTGTCCTTTAAACGAAGGGACCTGGAAGAGCAGACATTCTCGAGGCGACTGCTGGGCGTGCGTCCCTGCGCGGCCGCTTCCTGGCCGTGTGACCCGGGCAGGGTCACCGTCGCCTTCTGTAAAACCCAGGGGCGCCTTTTCCTCTGAGCCCTGTGCACCCCGCCCTCCTCCTCGCCCTGCCTCCCCGGGGTGAGCTGCCTACCTGCAGGGCTGGCCTTGTCCCGTGCCCTGGAGCCTGCAGAGGAGGAAGCTGGCTACCTGGGAGGCCCTTGGGCGGTGTTTGTGGAAGGAGCTGCCGGTGGCTCTGGACCCAGCTGCTGTGTCCGGGGACAGGTGGGAGCCTCATGAGTGGCTGTTAAGGTGAAACACTGATTTCGCACGGCCGGGCCGGGCCGGGCAAGGCCGTCCTGGCTCGGGCGTTGGCTCAGCCCTCCCGTGAACACTCGAGGCCAGATGTTTCGATGTTGCATTGCCAGCTTTAGCAGATAAAGTGGTCAGTATTCCCAGGGTGCCGCGGGGCGCTCCATGGAGCTTTCCGGAAGAGGCGCACAGATCTCACTTTACACTGCACCTGATGCGTGGAGACAGACGGACACGTGACGGGCGGGTGGGGAGCACGGGCCTGTTTTCCGGGTCTGCTGACCACCTGCTCATTCCCCCTCACCCTTCAGCTCTGGAGGTGCCCCCGAGGCCGACGTTCACCTTCAAGATGCCGGAGATCCACTTCCCCCTGGTGGGCCAGTGCGTCCAGGCCTACCACTGCGACTGCGTGGCCCAGCTGAGCAAGGCCATGGGCGCCAGGACACCTGGCAACTCCGCGCTGCTGGCCAGGTACTTGTACCTCCGGGGCCTCATCCTCCTGAGGCAGGGCCAGCTGCTGGATGCCCTCCTGGACTTCCAGAGCCTGTATAAGACGGACCTCAGGATCTTCCCTGCCGACCTGGTGAGGCGGGCGGTGCAGTCCATGTCGGGGCCCGAGCGAGCCCAGGCTGAGCAGATGCCCGAACTGAGGAGGCTCATCAGCGACGTCCTGGAGCCGCCCGGAGAGGTCCCCCGGGCCGACGACGGTGTGAAGCACTTCGAGCTGCCGAAGACGCACCTGCAGCTGGATGAGTTTGTGCAGCGGGTCCAGGAGTCAGGCATCGTGAAGGATGCTGGCATCATAAGCCGCCTGTTCGAGGCCCTGACTGTAGGTAAGGGGACAGGTTGGCCAGTGGCCAGGTGGCTCCCTGCAGTGGGAGGGCTTTGCCACCATCCTGGCTGCTCGAGGAGCAGGGGCGGGGCCTGCCTTCCGGGCTCGGGCCTCCCCCCTGCCCCCCCTGCTGCCAGCAGGGGACAGGCTGCCCCGGCTGGTCTCCGACCCGAGCTCTTTGCGGGGGGTAGGGTCTGGGGACGTTTGAGGGGGGACCAGGAAGGCCCTGCAGGTTTGCTCCTGTCCCGTGCGGTCCACTCGCTGTGTGACGGCCCCTCCTCATCCATGTGGGACAAAGGCTTCAGCTGGAATAGGTCGGACCCACGTGAGGGCACGGGGACAGCGTAACAGATGCCAGCCCCCGCGTCCAGCGCTGCGTTTCCCACAGTCACTGCCCTTGTCTGTCCAGCACCCCTTACGCCCTGCCCCCACCCTCAAAGGGCTCTCCGTCTCCACCGCGGCCTCTCCTCCTGACCACGTGGGGTTCCCACAGACGGCCGGATGACACAGGATGTGGGTTTGCGCGTGTAATTGTAGGTGAGCTGTCACTCCGTGCACGCCGGGCCATGCTTGCCGTTTGCTCAGTGCCGTTTGCACTGTGTATCGTGTGGATGCACGAGGATCCAGTGTCGTGGCAGGCGAGGGTCATGCCAGACCCTGTTCAGTCAGGCGCTGCTCGGCGACTTTGCTGTTTCAAATGCAGAGACGGCGAGAAGGCTGCCTGTGTTGGGGGGACATGTGGCCCACCTTCTCCAGGATTCGTGTGCAGCCTAGCTGGGGTGGCAGGCGCCACCCTGGCAGTGACTCGCCCCCCATGGTGGGTGCACCGCCTGCAAGAGGCGTGTGTGGGCAGCGCTCAGGGTTGCCCATGTGACGAGTGGGGCGACCTCGCCCGTGGGTGAGGGAGCCCGTGCCCAGGGCTGGGGGCCTTCTGCACGGCCAGGCAGGAGCTCGGGGCTCTGGCGGTGACATCGCCTCCACCACAAGGTGCGTGTGGCCGACAGCATGGAAGCAAACAGTTGGCATCTTTACGCAGGATTAGAAATGAAGGATCCGTGTTCTGTGTGGGCGTGCGCCATGGCCCTGGGTGTGCGTGTGAATGGCGGCCATCAGTGTGCATGGCAGCCCCTGTGGGCAGCGGCTGCACAGTGGACTCGCGTGTGCACTGTCCAGTTCTGCAGCCTGGCGGTGCAGTGTCCACACCCCAGCTGGTCACGTGGTGACCGTCACCTCCCACTGCCTGGGGACCCTCTTCTCATTGCCCTCCCCAGGGGAGGGTGGCTTTCTGAGGCCCAGTGCCACGTCTGTCCCCGAGGGGAGCTGTTTGGGTCCTGGTGACACCGGCCTCGCTCTGCCTGCTCCCGGTAACTCCCCTGGGGCTGACAGCGGGACGGTCGGTGACGGGAGGGATAGGGCGTCGGCTCCGGGCTCTGCATTCACGAGTCTTGACGTCAGTGTTCACAAAGTGCTGTGTGTTTCTCCGTCACGTCCTCTCTCGTTTTCCCGTGGCTGGGACCTTTTCATGCCCAGTTCGTCAGACTAAGCATTTTCTTTCGTCCAAGTGAAATAGCAGATGCTTCTGATTAAAGCCGCCCAGACCACCAGGACGTGTGGACCGCGGCGCCCGCTGGAGGCCGCTGCTCTGGGTGGCGTGTCTAACATGGGGGGAGGCTGCGAAGTGGGGGTCGGGGCGCGACCTGCAGGCTCCCGGTGCCGCCCAGCTCGGGGACTCCAGGCCACCTGGGCACAGGCTGGTGCCCTGTGCTCCGTCTTGTCTGGTGACTGATTTAAGAAAACATGCACGAACACACAGACACCCCGCCGTCGAACACACAGACACCCCACCGTCGAACACACAGACACCCCGCCGTCGAACACACAGACACCCCACCGTCTTCCGTTCGGATCCAGTGGCTGTGGATCTGAAACGCGGAAGCCGCTTCCAACCCCTGGGCGCCGTTAGCGCCGGCGCGCGCCCTCTGGTGGACACTCCGAGGTGTTGCAGGGGCTGCGTCTCATCGCTTTTCCGTTCTTCATTCCAGTATCAGTAATTCCTGCCTCTCCTGACCTGTCGCAGCGTTTTCGCGGGCTGTCCCACAGCTGGTTGCCGTGATGTCAGCGTCCACAGATAACGGTCACCCCCGACATCGATAGGGAGCACGCTGCACAGCCGGGCGGGGACAGGGAGGATGCAGGAACGCAGGGCCGTGGGGCCGTCACGCAGCCTCCGGGCCCAGCTCCGCACTCGCCGGCAGGGGCCTCCTCTGCACGCCGCAGTTTACGATGCGGGCCGAGCCGATAGCAGCGCCGGCCTCCCCAGGGGTTGGGTCCGGCGGGGAGCACGGCCAGTGTCGGGGCAGGGAAGGCTGGGCGTGGACGTCTTAGCCGGGGCTTGGCCGGGGTGGCTGTCTGGTCTGGGCACGCGGGGGCACTGTGCGGCGGGGAGCACGGCCAGTGTCGGGGCAGGGAAGGCTGGGCGTGGACGTCTCTTAGCCGGGTTGGCCGGGGTGGCTGTCTGGTCTGGGCACGCGGGGGCACTGTGTGCGCGGAGGCCCGTGACGCCTCGGCCGGTCTGCGAACGCGCTTGGCGTGACTGCAACGTGGCTGTGGAGGGTGGGGGCCTGCGGGCGGGAGCGGTGCCCGCCCACAGCTCGCCGCGGTCACTGCTGAATGGCGGCGAAGCAGGCTCACCCGGCGTCTGAATTGGGAGCCTGGGGAGAGTCCCCTCTGGGAACGGTTTCTGCACCGATGAAGGTCAGAACACCCCGAGATAGGCCGGCTTCAGGCACGGCTAGACCCAGAGGCACAGGAGCGTCACCGAGGATCCGGGCTCTTCACTGTTAGCGTCATCCGAGGACCAGCTCCCCTCGGGGCCCCAGGGTGTCGCCCTTGGTTCTAGTGGTGACACAGGTCTTCGCCACCATGAGGAGAGGGTCCCTTCCCAGTGTCCCCCATGTCCTGAGAGTCGCTGTGACCACCTGGCTTGGGCCACGGGCTGTGAAGGACACATGGGCTGGGGCTGGGTCCAGCGCCCACCCCGGGACCTGGGGTGCTGAGGAAGGGCAGAAACTCCCCGGTGCCCCCCAGGGGGACGTGGGTCCTGGGGCCACCTGCTGCCTCGTTCGGTGACACGCCGCCGCGTTGGGCAACGCAGACCACGTAGGTGGCTCTGACTCTCCTTTCTGACACTCAGGACAACAGAAGCTGATTGACCCGGAAACGTTCAAAGATTTCTACACGTGCTGGAAGGAGACAGAAGCAGAGGCCCGAGAGATCAGTCTGCCTGCGGAGGTCCTGGAGCACCTGGACAAGCACGAGTGCGTGTACAAGCTGTCCAGCTCCGTCAGGACGAACCACGGCGTGGGCAAGATCGCCATGACCCAGAAGCGCCTGCTTCTGCTGGCAGAGGGCCGGCCCGGCTTCACGGAGATCTCCACCTTCAGGGACATCGAGGTGCGGGCACCCCTGGGTCACGGCTGTCTGCCGCCCGGCTCAGAGCAGTCCTTCCCCTGTGGAGGACACTCGGATGGCGACTGTGACTCGTCTTGTGCCCGATACTCGTTTTCCAAATTCACACGGCGTGCTGGACGTGTGAGCATCGCCGCCGACCCTCAGGGAGGCAGTGAGACCTGCACCCAGGGGACCCCAGTTTCCTCTCTCGTCCCCACGCCGGCTTCGCCAGGCTGCCCCCTAGAATTCCGAACAAAGGAATGTCGAAGGAGGCGAGAGACTGGCCGCCCTTAAACGCCGTGACGCGTCCACGTGTGGACAGCGGCTCCTCTGGTCTGCTGGGCGACACCGAGCCCTCGGCCCCGGCCCCTGTCACACGTGTCTTAGAACAGGGTCCCATGGAGGCCCTTCCCTTCTCCCCGTTTCTCCCTCCTGGCCCAGGGCCACGTCAGGGCCTCGTCTGTCCTGCCAGGGCGTCCTCAGGCCCCAAGGACTCTGGCAGGTCCCCTCAGCGTGGACGAGGACGTGGCCTTGGGTCGCTGTGCTCACCTCCCCTCTGCCCCCACAGGAAGTCAGGAGCACCACGGTGGCCTTTCTGCTGCTCAGAATCCCGACGTTAAAGATCAAGATGGTGTCCAAGAAAGAAGTCTTCGAAGCCAGCCTCAGGAGGGAGTGTGACCTGTGGCACTTGATGGTGAAGGAGATGTGGGCCGGGCGGAAGCTGGCCGACAGCCACAAGGTCTGGGACGCGTGCCCCGCCCCCCGCCCCACCTGCCATACACTGTCGGCCCCGCAGACAGGCCGAACCAGACCAGGCCCTGACAGCAGGCAGAGAGGGTGGCCTCGGCCTCGCAGGTTGGGGACGCGTGGCCAGCACGAGGGGCAGGCGGGGTGCTATTTGGGCCGTGGTGGCGGCCACTGTGCCCTTCAGCTAACTTCTCCGACTCTGGTGCCGTCCAGGAGCAGGGGGCGGGGCCTGGCCTCCCGCAGGTCCGAGTTGGGTATTCTGGGCACACCTGCTGAGGGTCCCTCCTCCCTCCCACCCCAGGGTTGGGGTCCAGGCAGGGGCTACGCTGGACGCCTTCCATGGGCCTAGGTGTAGGTGCCAAGGGTCTTTGGTGTACCCAAAGTCATCATGTGGCCTGAAGTAAGGGAAGGTCCAAATTAAGCCTCGTGGTCAGAGGAGGTGGTCAGAGGTACGGGGGGCGGACATGAGGGCAGGCGAGAGAGGGGAGCCCCTCACGAAACGGGCCAGGAGCGAACAGGGGCCTCGCTGCACGGTGTCCACTGACCGCCTGCGGCCCACACGAGTGTCCCGTGGCAGGAGACCTGCCACTGAGATGTGGGTTCGGTTGGGGGGCTCAATCCGGACGCTGAGCGAGCGCCTGATGGAGCGGGGCGGGCACTGGTCCTTGCCAGGATTCCGACAGCCGGACCCTTGCGCCGGCCGTCAGGTTTTACGCCCCCGGGTGTATCCAGCACCAGTGAGCCCAGGTGTGCCGACTCCCACGGCAGGGTCTGCAGGGGTCCTGCTGGTGCACACCCACACCCATTCACACCCATGCCACCCACGCCCATTCACGCCCATGCCACCCACGCCCATTCAGGTCCATGACACCCCGCCCCCATTCACGCCCATGACACCCACGCCACCCCACCGTTCACGCCCATGACACCCATGCCCCCGTTCATGCCCATGACACCCATGCCCCCGTTCACGCCCATGCCCCAGGGGCCAGGGTTGAGCAGCTGCAACAGACTGCGTGTGGCCATGGAGCCTGAAACGTTTGCTGACCCCACGTCGGTATCTGTCTCAGAGAAAAACGACGACACGACATCCCGTCCAAACTGCAGCTCTTCGCGCTGCTCTGAGAAAGGCGCACCCCCCCCCCGAGTGTCGTTTGCTGCGACGCACTCTCAGGGGCTCTGTCCCCCCCGCAGGACCCTCAGTACGTCCAGCAGGCGGTGACCCACATCTTGCTGATGGACGCCGTCGTGAACACGCTGCAGTCTCCTGGGGCCATTTACGCCGCCTCCAAATTGTCTTACTTCGATAAGATGAAGAGCGAAAGTAAGAAGCACGTGTTTGACACGCGGCGTCTCGAATGTGTCTGATTTTTATCTAGGTGACAGTCATCGATTAGATCCGGTACTTCTCTCTCCTTCGCTTTTAACCTTTAACCGTGTCTTTGAACCTTTAACCGTGTCTTTGAACCTCGCACGTGGTTCTGCCCCTGTCCTTCTCTCGTGAGCGACGCACGTCGGAGCTCGCCTGTCGGGACACGCGAACCTCATGGTGCTTAGGCTCGTGGTATTCGTCGGAGCATCTGCTGGCTGGTTTACGTGCAGCAGAAACTCGCGGACGGCCGCCGAGCGGCTTGTGCACGGACGCGTGCCCGCCGTGCTGTAAAGCCACGGGACCCTGTGCACGGCCGCCCGGCTCCGGGAGCGGTGGAGGCCCCGGCGACCGCGTTCCCTGCTTTGTTCTCTGCGTGGTCGGTTCCCCAGGCTCGCGTGCCCGCACGCTGTAAAGCTGCGGGACCCTGTGCACGGCCGCCCGGCTCCGGGAGCGGTGGAGGCCCCGGCGACCGCGTTCCCTGCTTTGTTCTCTGCGTGGTCGGTTCCCCAGGCTGGAACTGGCCGATCTGCCCGCAGACGTAACCCTGGCCCTCGCGCTTCGGAAGCCATAGACGCTGGCGGTCAGTTCCGTGGTTTGTGGAAGGGTTTTCAGGTCTAGGAAGCAGCACATGGGCAAGAATAACGTCATGCACCGTTGTCGCTGCTTTTGATCTAAAGCCAGCTGTCCCGTGATTGGCACGGTGGAGAGAGGGCTACTTAGGGCCCCTGGCATCAATTGCTGCGCCACGGTTACCCAGCCAGAGCAGAGTTTTAGCACACCCAGAGGTGTCCAGCACGATGGACTTTAGGACATCGTTGTCACCCCAAAAAGAAGCCCTGCACCATCTAGCAGCCGCCCCAGCCCCTGGGCACCTGCTAACGTGCTCATCTCATAGACTTGCCTACCTCTGGCC